GGCCTATAGGCCAAATAGTCTCTGTTCATCCAGACAGTCAAGGCATCTTGAGAATAGTGAAAGTAAAATGCTGAGACAACACTACTCTCAAAACATTAGAGAAATTAGTTCCTTTAGATCTGGCAGGAAAAGAAGACATTCAACGACTTCCAGCACCCCGAAGTGCCAATAAGAGATGTACAGCAGTGCAAGCTCAAATTAAAGCAACTCTATAATTCTAAGGGGACAGGAATAAAGTGATCGCAGTCCTTACCGGGACTTCAACCCGTGTTTCCCCCCCCCCTCCACCCCCCCGGAATTATGTCGGAAGCGTGTGCCGACACACGTTAACATAACATAGTTACCCCATTAAATCAGAGTGGGTGATTCCGTGACATCATCAACAAGACCTATATATATATCTCTCATCTGTTTTTAATCCACAGTCTGGTGTCTAAACTTAATAAAAAAAGTATTCAATAGGACTGGATATAATATAATTATCAGTAAAAGTATAGCTTAGCTCCCTTATTACTGTAAATTAAATACGGAATATTGAGGGAACATTAGAGAGCCCCATCTCAGAGAGACGAGCAGGTCACGTACACACAGAACAATAACAAACCACACACGATACAGAGGTGGCTCCATATGAGCTAGAAAACTCGTCATAGATTTCCAAATAAGAGTCAACCAACCGAGTACCAACTTCTACCACCTCTTCAACCAAAGGAATACCTGAGTATCCGTCTTACCAAGTATCTAATTATGTAATTTGGCCATTTTATGTCATAGATAAGTTAGGCGGTTATACTGTGGGATGGAAATCCCAAACAGGTGTGTTTTATTCAGCATTTACTACACACACCAATATCCATGTCATACCTGTACTTTATACTTTAGGGAACCATTATTAATTCCTTTCATTCTGCAGGAAAGCTTTGATGTGAAGTTACTGAAAGGTTGCAGTTGGCCCCCAACATAATTGTGGAAATTTGTCTACCTTGTTGTACACAAAGACGCCAGCTTGCCGAGGCGGCCATTTTATACACCCTGGAGAACAAGTAGCTACACCCTTAGCAGATTTTGGAGACAGCCAGCCTATTTAGGCCACACCTACAGTATCAGATACGAAAAATTAGTTTTACAGTAGATAATTATTGAAACTGTAGAAAGAGTAGTAGTGTTCATAATTTCAGTACATTTAAGAATATTAGTAAATCAGAACACCATATGTAGTATAATTTATATTTTCAAGACTAGGTAAACAATTGTAATCTATTTTATCCACTGGAAAGTGGTATAGGTTACAATTGTCCCCCCAACTGTGTGCAGAAACATGCTAACACACTGAATCAAATCTATACAATCCACTTATCATGATAATAATAATAATAATAATAATAATAATAATAATAATAATAATAATAATAATAATAATAATAATAATAATAATAATAATATTATAGTCAACTACAAAATAATATTCAAGTAACAAAAATAGAATAAAAAGAAATAATTTCCTGCTAGGATTTCCCCACACACCTGCCTTCTTGCCCCACACACCTGCCTTCTTGCACCACACACCTGCCCTCTTGCACCACACACCTGCCCTCTTGCCCCACACACCTGCCTTCTTGCACCACACACCTGCCTTCTTGCCCCACACACCTGCCTTCTTGCACCACACACCTGCCCTCTTGCACCACACACCTGCCCTCTTGCCCCACACACCTGCCTTCTTGCACCACACACCTGCCCTCTTGCACCACACACCTGCCCTCTTGCCCCACACACCTGCCTTCTTGCACCACACACCTGCCCTCTTGCACCACACACCTGCCCTCTTGCACCACACACCTGCCTTCTTGCACCACACACCTGCCCTCTTGCACCACACACCTGCCCTCTTGCCCCACACACCTGCCCTCTTGCCCCACACACCTGCCTTCTTGCACCACACACCTGCCTTCTTGCACCACACACCTGCCCTCTTGCCCCACACACCTGCCTTCTTGCACCACACACCTGCCCTCTTGCACCACACACCTGCCCTCTTGCCCCACACACCTGCCCTCTTGCCCCACACACCTGCCCTCTTGCCCCACACACCTGCCCTGTTGCACCACACACCTGCCCTCTTGCCCCACACACCTGCCCTCTTGCCCCACACACCTGCCCTCTTGCACCACACACCTGCCCTCTTGCCCCACACACCTGCCTTCTTGCACCACACACCTGCCCTCTTGCACCACACACCTGCCCTCTTGCCCCACACACCTGCCCTCTTGCCCCACACACCTGCCCTCTTGCCCCACACACCTGCCCTCTTGCACCACACACCTGCCCTCTTGCACCACACACCTGCCTTCTTGCACCACACACCTGCCTTCTTGCACCACACACCTGCCTTCTTGCACCACACACCTGCCTTCTTGCACCACACACCTGCCTTCTTGCACCACACACCTGCCTTCTTGCACCACACACCTGCCTTCTTGCACCACACACCTGCCTTCTTGCACCACACACCTGCCTTCTTGCCCCACACACCTGCCCTCTTGCACCACACACCTGCCTTCTTGCACCACACACCTGCCTTCTTGCACCACACACCTGCCCTCTTGCACCACACACCTGCCTTCTTGCACCACACACCTGCCCTCTTGCACCACACACCTGCCTTCTTGCACCACACACCTGCCTTCTTGCACCACACACCTGCCTTCTTGCACCACACACCTGCCTTCTTGCACCACACACCTGCCTTCTTGCACCACACACCTGCCCTCTTGCACCACACACCTGCCTTCTTGCACCACACACCTGCCTTCTTGCACCACACACCTGCCTTCTTGCACCACACACCTGCCTTCTTGCACCACACACCTGCCCTCTTGCACCACACACCTGCCTTCTTGCACCACACACCTGCCTTCTTGCACCACACACCTGCCTTCTTGCACCACACACCTGCCCTCTTGCACCACACACCTGCCCTCTTGCCCCACACACCTGCCCTCTTGCCCCACACACCTGCCCTCTTGCCCCACACACCTGCCCTCTTGCACCACACACCTGCCCTCTTGCACCACACACCTGCCTTCTTGCACCACACACCTGCCTTCTTGCACCACACACCTGCCTTCTTGCACCACACACCTGCCTTCTTGCACCACACACCTGCCTTCTTGCACCACACACCTGCCTTCTTGCACCACACACCTGCCTTCTTGCACCACACACCTGCCTTCTTGCACCACACACCTGCCTTCTTGCACCACACACCTGCCTTCTTGCCCCACACACCTGCCCTCTTGCACCACACACCTGCCTTCTTGCACCACACACCTGCCTTCTTGCACCACACACCTGCCCTCTTGCACCACACACCTGCCTTCTTGCACCACACACCTGCCCTCTTGCACCACACACCTGCCTTCTTGCACCACACACCTGCCTTCTTGCACCACACACCTGCCTTCTTGCACCACACACTGCCTTCTTGCACCACACACCTGCCTTCTTGCACCACACACCTGCCCTCTTGCACCACACACCTGCCTTCTTGCACCACACACCTGCCTTCTTGCACCACACACCTGCCTTCTTGCACCACACACCTGCCTTCTTGCACCACACACCTGCCCTCTTGCACCACACACCTGCCTTCTTGCACCACACACCTGCCCTCTTGCACCACACACCTGCCTTCTTGCACCACACACCTGCCTTCTTGCACCACACACCTGCCTTCTTGCACCACACACCTGCCCTCTTGCACCACACACCTGCCCTCTTGCACCACACACCTGCCTTCTTGCCCCACACACCTGCCCTCTTGCACAAGAGGAGCCATTAAATGTGGAGTTCAGTCCCTGAGCCCATTATGTGTCTCTGTAACCCTTTCCACTACCGCCCACAAGATGGGTATGGGGTGCATAATAAACGAACTAAACTAAAACTAACTCTCCTACCATCACTGTGTACTCAAGGACCACCAAGCGCTGCTCACCGCTCCACGTCAGTACACGATGCTCGACGCCCTCACAGTCCTTCTGTGTTCATGTTCTTCTATATGTCTTCGTGTAACTGTGTCTCAAGATATCGAGTCTTCTTTTCAATCTTTATGTGCCTTGTTCTTTGCCTTGATCTGTGTCATTGGCTGTGTGTTCGCTCCGTGTTAACGTGCTTCTTATAGCATAAAATATGAAGTTAATTTCCAGGTACACCATGAGGCAGGTAATGCAGAAAAGTTAGTTAATTAATTACAACAATATTACCATTTGTGTAACTTACACTGAAGCCTTGAGCGGGTGAAGGAAGGTGTGGCCTGTTGGCCCTGAAGGCTGAGGCTGACCTCTTGAACCCTGGCATGGATGAGAGACCATACCCTCCAGACCTCCTCCACACTCGACCTCCAGCTGGCACCATCACTGCAACACACCCGCACCTCCTCAGGTTCCCACCTTAAAGTACTCGAAGGTGAATAGTAAGGAGGCTCCAGCGAGAACTTTGAATATGTAGTAACAAGGAATAGAAAAGGCAGTCCACTTTGAGTGATATATATCCTCCCAGTACCACAGTCTACCATGTGTGGTATATCCTCCCTGTACCATAGTCTACCATGTGTGGTATATCCTCCCTGTACCTCAGTCTACCATGTGTGGTATAGCCTCCCTGTACCACAGTCTACCATGTGTGGTATATCCTCCCTGTACCACAGTCTACCATGTGTGGTATATCCTCCCTGTACCACAGTCTACCATGTGTGGTATATCCTCCCTGTACCACAGTCTACCATGTGTGGTATATCCTCCCTGTACCATAGTCTACCATGTGTGGTATATCCTCCCTGTACTACAGTCTACCATGTGTGGTATATCCTCCCTGTACCACAGTCTACCATGTGTGGTATATCCTCCCTGTACCACAGTCTACCATGTGTGGTATATCCTCCCTGTACCACAGTCTACCATGTGTGGTATATCCTCCCTGTATCACAGTCTACCATGTGTGGTATATCCTCCTTGTACCACAGTCTACCATGTGTGGTATATCCTCCCTGTACCACAGTCTACCATGTGTGGCATATCCTCCCTGTACCACAGTCTACCATGTGTGGTATATATCCTCCCTGTACCACAGTCTACCATGTGTGGTATATCCTCCCTGTACCACAGTCTACCATGTGTGGTATATCCTCCCAGTACCACAGTCTACCATGTGTGGTATATCCTCCCAGTACCACAGTCTACCATGTGTGGTATATCCTCCCTGTACCACAGTCTACCATGTGTGGTATATCCTCCCAGTACCACAGTCTACCATGTGTGGTATATCCTCCCTGTACCACAGTCTACCATGTGTGGTATATCCTCCCTGTACCACAGTCTACCATGTGTGGTATATCCTCCCAGTACCACAGTCTACCATGAGTGGTATATCCTACCTGTACCACAGTCTACCATGTGTGGTATATCCTCCCTGTACCACAGTCTACCATGTGTGGTATATCCTCCCTGTACCTCAGTCTACCATGTGTGATATATCCTCCCTGTACCACAGTCTACCATGTGTGGTATATCCTCCCTGTACCACAGTCTACCATGTGTGGTATATCCTCCCTGTACCACAGTCTACCATGTGTGGTATATCCTCCCTGTACCACAGTCTACCATGTGTGGTATATCCTCCCTGTATATCTATTTATCTTTTTATATCTTTTTTTATCTAGTATATCTTTTTATTCTAGCATTGTTGAGGCAGTTGATAGTGGTAAGGATTGCGATGTTGTATACCTTGACTTTAGCAAAGCTTTTGATACAGTGCCACATGAAAGACTGATTAAAAAAATAGAGTCTCATGGTATTGGGGGTGCTATATTAAGCTGGATTAGGGCATGGCTATACCAAAGGAAACAGAGAGTTAGTATAAATGGAATCAAGTCAGAGTGGGAAAATGTTGTAAGTGGAGTGCCTCAAGGCTCTGTCCTGGGACCTCTGTTGTTTATAATATATATAAATGATTTAGATTCAGGTTTGAGTAGCAACATTTGCAAATTTGCCGATGATACGAAAATCGGTAGGGAAATTAATTCGGAGGAGGACTCACTATCACTTCAAGTTGATCTAGATAGGGTTTTGAAATGGTCAAAGGATTGGCAGATGCAGTTTAATGCTGATAAATGTAAAGTTCTGAGGTTAGGTAATGATGATAGAGTTACAAGATACGAGCTAGATGGTGTTGTGATTGCGAAGTCGGATTGCGAAAGGGATCTGGGAGTTATGATTAGTAAGAATTTAAAACAAAAGGATCAATGCATAAATGTTCGTAATAAGGCAAATCGGACACTTGGATTTATTAATCGCAGCGTTAGTAACAAGACACCTGGTGTGGTTCTCAAGCTATATCTTGCTCTAGTTAGGCCCCATTTAGATTACGCAGTTCAGTTTTGGTCGCCATATTATAGAATGGATATAAATTCACTTGAACGTGTCCAGCGTAGGATGACTAAGTTAATTCCCCAAATTAGAAATCTTTCATATGAAGAAAGATTAACAAAGCTTAAGTTGCATTCACTGGAAAGGCGAAGAGTTAGGGGTGACATGATGGAGGTTTACAAGTGGATGAATGGACATAACCGGGGGGATATTAATAGGGTATTAAAAGTATCAACACAGGACAGAACACGAAACAATGGATATAAATTGGATAAGTTTAGATTTAGGAAAGACTTGGGTAAATACTGGTTCAGTAACAGGGTTGTTGATTTGTGGAACCAATTGCCGCGTAACATTGTGGAGGTGGGGTCCCTCGATTGTTTCAAGCACGGGTTGGACAAGTATATGAGTGGGATTGGGTGGTTATAGAATAGGAGCTGCCTCGTATGGGCCAATAGGCCTTCTGCAGTTACCTTTGTTCTTATGTTCTTATGTTCTTATATCCTCCCTGTACCTCAGTCTACCATGTGTGGTATATCCTCCCTGTACCTCAGTCTACCATGTGTGGTATATCCTCCCTGTAACTCTCCTACAGTAAATCCTTAAACAAACACTCACTCGACACATTCGCTTGTGTTATTTACATGTACAAAACCTCGTTCCTAAATGCTACTCCTGATGACACTGTTCCTTGATAGATGGAGTACAACCCCTGATCACACCAGTTGCTGAGACTGTTTTGACTGTGTTGTATGTGAGTGGTGAAGTTAAGTGTCTTGTCTATGTACAGGCCAAGGAACGTTCCCTCATTCTTAATTGTAATGTTAACATTGTCTATCTGAAGGCGAATTTGGCTTGATGATTCACTTCCACATATAATGTACTGGGTCTTATCTATGTTTACTGTGTTGATTGACATCTATGAGTAGACTTTTCTTTAATTCGTTATTTACAATATTATTGTATTGTGTGTGGGTTGAGGTCTGAATAGATGAAGATAGTATCTTCAGCTAATAGTATAGATTTTAGGCCGTTAGAGGCATTTAGCATATCATTGATGTATGTAAGAAATAGGAGAGGTCCTTTGATGCTGCCCTGTGGCACTCCTGCTGTTAACGGTAGAGGGGGGCGGGGAGGTTGATGACTACATATTGGTGTAACTAAGATATGATCGAATATGGTTCACCTGATAAGGATCTAATACCAGATAACCCTTGAATGGTATTGTGTGGCTCTGTGAGTGGCTGTGGTATTGTGTGGCTCTGTGAGTGGCTGTGGTATTGTGTGGCTCTGTGAGTGGCTGTGGTATTGTGTGGCTCTGTGAGTGGCTGTGGTATTGTGTGGCTCTGTGAGTGGCTGTGGTATTGTGTGGCTCTGTGAGTGGCTGTGGTATTGTGTGGCTCTGTGAGTGGCTGTGGTATTGTGTGGCTCTGTGAGTGGCTGTGGTATTGTGTGGCTCTGTGAGTGGCTGTGGTATTGTGTGGCTCTGTGAGTGGCTGTGGTATTGTGTGGCTCTGTGAGTGGCTGTGACTCACGGACGAAGCTCAGGGGAATCTATATGTAAATCAAACCTTCCTGTTGTTGTCATTTAGCTGACTATTGACAACCTTAACTACTTGACTGCTTTCTATTTTCAAAAATCTACAGCTAAAGTGACGGGACATCCTTGCGGCTGAATACAAGGATGACATGACAATGGTAGTGTGAGGGAAGCGGTGCTCACACTAGTGAGACATCCAGGGAGAGAGAGTGTGACGGACGGTGTTCAGGACACACTACCTCAGGCTCAGGGAACACCTCACCTGCTTCAGGCAGGCGGGCAGCGCGCACGTCCTGCTGGACGGACCCGACACCTCGGTCCTCGCCGCCCTCCTCCTCCTCAGCGACCTCATAGTCGGGGAACAGCTTGGGCTGTGGGGCATACCTGTGGGAGTGTGGGGAGGGTGTTAGTACTGGCTTACCTGTGGGAGTGTGGGAGTGTTAGTACTGGCTTACCTGTGGGAGTGTGGGGGGTGTTAGTACTGGCTTACCTGTGGGAGTGTGGGGGGTGTTAGTACTGGCTTACCTGTGGGAGTGTGGGGGGGGGGGGTTAGTACTGGCTTACCTGTGGGAGTGTGGGGGGGGTGTTAGTACTGGCTTACCTGTGGGAGTGTGGGGGTGTTAGTACTGGCTTACCTGTGGGAGTGTGGGGGGTGTTAGTACTGGCTTACCTGTGGGGGGTGGGGGGTGTTAGTACTGGCTTACCTGTGGGAGTGTGGGGGTGTTAGTACTGGCTTACCTGTGGGAGTGGGGGGGTGTTAGTACTGGCTTACCTGTGGGGGGTGGGGGGTGTTAGTACTGGCTTACCTGTGGGAGTGTGGGGGTGTTAGTACTGGCTCACCTGTGGGGGGTGGGGGGTGTTAGTACTGGCTTACCTGTGGGAGTGTGGGGGTGTTAGTACTGGCTTACCTGTGGGGGGTGGGGGGTGTTAGTACTGGCTTACCTGTGGGAGTGTGGGGGGTGTTAGTACTTGCTTACCTGTGGGAGTGTGGGGTGTTAGTACTGGCTTACCTGTGGGAGTGTGGGGGGGGGTGTTAGTACTGGCTTACCTGTGGGAGTGTGGGGGGGGGGGTGTTAGTACTGGCTTACCTGTGGGGGGTGGGGGGTGTTAGTACTGGCTTACATGTGGGAGTGTGGGGGGTGTTAGTACAGGCTTACCTGTGGGAGTGTGGGGGGGTGTTAGTACTGGCTTACCTGTGGGAGTATGGGGGGGTGTTAGTACTGGCTTACCTGTGGGGGGTGTGGGGGTGTTAGTACTGGCTTACCTGTGGGAGTGTGGGGGGGGTGTTAGTACTGGCTTACCTGTGGGGGGTGTGGGGGTGTTAGTACTGGCTTACCTGTGGGAGTGTGGGGGGGGTGTTAGTACTGGCTTACCTGTGGGGGGTGTGGGGGTGTTAGTACTGGCTTACCTGTGGGAGTGTGGGGGGTGTGGGGGTGTTAGTACTGGCTTACCTGTGGGGGGTGTGGGGGTGTTAGTACTGGCTTACCTGTGGGAGTGTGGGGGGTGTGGGGGTGTTAGTACTAGCTTACCTGTGGGGGGTGTGGGGGTGTTAGTACTGGCTTACCTGTGGGGGGTGTGGGGGTGTTAGTACTAGCTTACCTGTGGGGGGTGTGGGGGTGTTAGTACTGGCTTACCTACGGGAGTGTGGGGGGGGGTGTTAGTACTAGCTTACCTGTGGGGGGTGTGGGGGTGTTAGTACTGGCTTACCTGTGGGAGTGTGGGGGGTGTGGGGGTGTTAGTACTAGCTTACCTGTGGGGGGTGTGGGGGTGTTAGTACTGGCTTACCTGTGGGAGGTTGGGGGGGGTGTTAGTACTAGCTTACCTGTGGGGGGTGTGGGGGTGTTAGTACTGGCTTACCTGTGGGAGTGACATATATATAGGCAGATGAGCTATATGAACTCTGGTAACAAAGTTTTCAAAAAGAGTCTCAAGGTTAGGTACACTAATGCTGATGGGGTATCCAATAAAGCAGAGGAAATAAAAGAAAGGGCCAGTGACACAGATCATTAAATATTTGCAATAGTGGAAACTAAAATAAATGATACGATCTCAGATGCATTTCTTCTAAAAAAATATCAAGTGATAAGGAATGAAAGGACACATGAAAAGAATGAAAGGAAACAGAAGGGGGAGTGGCACTCCCAATAGAGCAGAAATGATAGTGTGAAGAACTAGATAATCTGGGAACTAATGGAAACACAAGCTCAATACTTGGGACATTAACATCAGATGGGAAGAGAATTGTGATCTTGATAATCTACAATTCCTCAACAAAGAGTAGAAGGACTAGACATGAATATGATGACAACAAGATATGCATAGAAGAACCACAGAGGGCAGCAACAACAGCTCACAAAATGAGATCAAATCTGGTGGTCATGGGGTATCCAAATCATGGAGAACTCGATTGGGAATCAGGGAATCCCATTGACGGGGAGGAAACGTTGGGAGCAAAGCTAGCGGAAGTTGTAGACAGAAATTTCTGTATTCTTATAGTATTCCATATAAACATGAATGCAACAAATGAAGTAAGACACAAGGGGAAAGAAGAGGGAATATACCAAGCCTATTAGACCTGATTTTCACCCAGAGCGAGGAAGACATCGAGAATTTGGAACACGAAATACCTCTAGGGGCCAGTGACCATTGTGTCCTAGTCTTTGACTACATGATCGAACTTAAAATTGTGACGACGAGACAAGAGGTTTGGGAAAGGAGAGTCGACTACAGCCAATGGAATTACAGGAGGAAAAAAGAATATCTGGGAGAAGTGAAGTGGTAGGGAGAACTTAGGGGGAAAAACAGTACAAGATATGATGGACCTAGTCAAATGGAAATGCAAGGAGGCCAAAGAGTGTTTTGTACCAACAGTAATGGTAAAACGTAGGAGGGAATATAATAACTCATGGTTTAATAGTGTCACAAAACAAAAATGAGAGGCAGGAAGGAGTGGAGAAAGGACAGAGGACAACAGGAATAGATGCAACAGAGCTAGGAACGAATACATAAATATAAGGAGAGTATCACAAAGAAATTATGAAAACGATATTGCTGTCAAAGCAAAAAAAGCAACCTAAATAACTACATAAATAATAAAAGGCAACCTAAATAACATAGTTATTTAAAAGGGGCTTAGTGACGATGTCTACGCCATCTGTTGAGTGCACTCGACACCATTTTCTGTTCCACGATGGAAGACTGTGAACGTATTCGACTCCAGTGTAGTTCCCTTCTTACTAATCACATTTTCCCAGGACTGCCAGACGTGTGTTGCAAGTGGAGACCGTAGACTGATTTGTCTGCCAGTGTGGCGAAGTTGCTGGAGACCCTGTGTGGAAGTCTGCCAGGGTGTTGCTGGAGACCCCTGCCAGTGTGTTGCTGGAGACCCCTGCCAGGGTGTTGCTGGAGACCCCTGCCAGTGTGTTGCTGGAGACCCCTGCCAGGGTGTTGCTGGAGACCCCTGCCAGTGTGTTGCTGGAGACTCCTGCCAGGGTGTTGCTGGAGACTCCTGCCAGGGTGTTGCTGGAGACTCCTGCCAATGTGTTGCTGGAGACCCCTGTCAGTGTGTTGCTGGAGACCCCTACCAGTGTTGCTGGAGACCCCTGCCAGGGTGTTGCTGGAGACCCCTGCCAGCGTGTTGCTGGAGACCCCTGCCAGGGTGTTGCTGGAGACCCCTGCCAGTGTGTTGCTGGAGACCCCTGCCAGTGTGTTGCTGGAGACCCCTGCCAGTGTGTTGCTGGAGACCCCTGCCAGTGTGTTGCTGGAGACCCCTGCCAGTGTGTTGCTGGAGACCCCTGCCAGTGTGTTGCTGGAGACCCCTGCCAGTGTGTTGCTGGAGACCCCTGCCAGTGTTGCTGGAGACCCCTGCCAGTGTGTTGCTGGAGACCCCTGCCAGTGTGTTGCTGGAGACCTCTGCCAGTGTTGCTGGAGACCCCTGCCAGTGTGTTGCTGGAGACCTCTGCCAGTGTGTTGCTGGAGACCCCTGCCAGTGTGTTGCTGGAGACCACTGCCAGTGTGTTGCTGGAGACCCCTGCCAGGGTGTTGCTGGAGACCCCTGCCAGTGTTGCTGGAGACCCCTGCCAGTGTGTTGCTGGAGACCCCTGCCAGTGTGTTGCTGGAGACCCCTGCCAGTGTGTTGCTGGAGACCCCTGCCAGGGTGTTGCTGGAGACCCCTGCCAGTGTGTTGCTGGAGACCCCTGCCAGCGTGTTGCTGGAGACCTCTGCCAGTGTTGCTGGAGACCTCTGCCAGTGTTGCTGGAGACCCCTGCCAGGGTGTTGCTGGAGACCTCTGCCAGCGTGTTGCTGGAGACCCCTGCCAGGGTGTTGCTGGAGACCTCTGCCAGTGTTGCTGGAGACCTCTGCCAGTGTTGCTGGAGACCCCTGCCAGGGTGTTGCTGGAGACCTCTGCCAGCGTGTTGCTGGAGACCCCTGCCAGTGTGTTGCTGGAGACCTCTGCCAGTGTTGCTGGAGACCTCTGCCAGTGTTGCTGGAGACCCCTGCCAGTGTGTTGCTGGAGACCTCTGCCAGTGTGTTGCTGGAGACCCCTGCCAGTGTTGCTGGAGACCCCTGCCAGTGTTGCTGGAGACCCCTGCCAGTGTGTTGCTGGAGACCTCTGCCAGTGTTGCTGGAGACCCCTGCCAGTGTTGCTGGAGACCCCTGCCAGTGTTGCTGGAGACCCCTGCCAGTGTGTTGCTGGAGACCCCTGCCAGTGTTGCTGGAGACCCCTGCCAGTGTTGCTGGAGACCCCTGCCAGTGTGTTGCTGGAGACCTCTGCCAGTGTGTTGCTGGAGACCTGCCAGTGCCAGGGGACCCCTGTGTTGCTGGAGACCCCTGCCAGTGTGTTGCTGGAGACCTCTGCCAGTGTTGCTGGAGACCCCTGCCAGTGTTGCTGGAGACCCCTGCCAGTGTGTTGCTGGAGACCCCTGCCAGCGTGTTGCTGGAGACCCCTGCCAGCGTGTTGCTGGAGACCTCTGCCAGTGTTGCTGGAGACCTCTGCCAGTGTGTTGCTGGAGACCCCTGCCAGTGTGTTGCTGGAGACCCCTGCCAGTGTGTTGCTGGAGACCCCTGCCAGTGTGTGCTGGAGACCCCTGCCAGTGTGTTGCTGGAGACCCCTGCCAGTGTGTTGCTGGAGACCCCTGCCAGTGTGTTGCTGGAGACCCCTGCCAGTGTGTTGCTGGAGACCCCTGCCAGTGTGTTGCTGGAGACCCCTGCCAGTGTGTTGCTGGAGACCCCTGCCAGTGTGTTGCTGGAGACCCCTGCCAGTGTTGCTGGAGACCCCTGCCAGTGTGTTGCTGGAGACCCCTGCCAGTGTGTTGCTGGAGACCCCTGCCAGTGTGTTGCTGGAGACCTCTGCCAGTGTGTTGCTGGAGACCCCTGCCAGTGTG